CTTAAAAAATACACAGCAGCATAAATGACATTTCTCTTTTATAAACAGCTATAGGTAGAGTATCTTTTAAAAGACCTTTATGGCAGGGAAGAAGAACTACTGAATTGGAGAGAGTTTGCTGTTAGTGATTTTCTATGGTTGGGTTTGTCATGGGAGAAGGAAGGAGACCCCAGCCCCCAAGCCCATGGGTGAGAAAAGTGGGTGTGATTGGAGAGCACCCCCGAGTGTGGGTGGGCTGTGGTCTGCGTCCTCACCTCTTCCCAGGAGCTTAGATGCTCCATAGTAAGTGGTCCTCAAAAGAACTACTACTAGATATCCTGTAAAACAGTAACTCCAAACTTCCAAAGCAAGTGTTCTCTCCCATGTGAATTGCTTTTCATATTTTTATTGAATTCAAGGTCTTGGTCTTCACTCCAGGACACCTGTTTAGCAGCAGAGTGACCACAGTGGCCATGGTCCCTCCCCCCATGGCTGACAGGCCACACTCAGAATGTGCACAGGGGCTGTGGGGCTCAGGGGCCGGGTGCCCTGTGCAGCGTCTCTCTCTCCTCCGCCCACAGGTTGGACGCCTTCGAGGTGCTGGCCCTGGACGGGGCCCGCACAGGAACCCTGCAGTTTTGCACAGCCCAGGACGGCGCCGACTGGCTTCAAATGGTCTCTGGCAACATCAGCCACCTGATGCTTCAGAACGTGAGCACAGTGTTTCCACAAGTGTTTCACAAATTTATTGAAGTACTACAACATTTTTATTTCAGGAAACCTAATTGGATTAAAAATATATCCCCCCAAACATTATGGAAATTTATAAAAGACATAATAGGCAAAAGCATTGACAAATTTTTACTGCAGTTATCTGGAAAAGAAAAGATATTCTGTCTTCTCGAGTAATTTGTTCAATGTTCAAAGTCAATAGAAAATTTTAAAGATAAAAGTGATAAGGGGAGACAGGGTGAGAAGGAACACCCCATTGAGTGTGCAGTGCCCTTGGCACTGTGCAAGGACATGGTCAATCTCAAGGCCAGTGCAGGGATGCCAAGTTGAAGAGGGACAGCCCTAGGGGTTACCGTGGGACTAACCCTCCCCAGATGACCAGCTTTCTGGTCAACATCCCCCAAGTTGCCTGACCCTGCAATTGTCAAGTGACCTGTCAAATTGACCCTGCAATTTCTGGTCAACATCCCCCCAAGCTGCCTGATCCCAGCTCTGTTCTGGGGCCTGGGGCCTGCTGGCAGGGGACCTATAGCACCTGCTCTCTGCCAACCCCCCACCTCCCCACAACCTCATCATTCTGGCAGCTACTGAACAAAGGTTGGTAGAGTGAACTCAAATGCCGGGAAGCAGCCAGGTGTGAGATTTCCAGTCCACACAGGTTTCCCTTCTGTGATGATATGAAGATGTAGGCAACCTTTCTAAGATCTCAATTTTAAATTTGAAGCTTTTATTTCTAAAGTTATCTGAATGGACAGAAGGTTAAATCGACCAACTACCAGAAGATAGTGCTGGACTGATGTTTGTACAAATGCTTATAGGGACAAGGGCCCTTCAGGTCTGGGTGTGGTGGCAGGGCAGAGCGGAAGACAGCTCAGGACACTGTGGGGCATAAAGGTGGGCTCTCGGCCACCTCCCCACTGTGTACACGCGGTGTGTTATCACCCCAGACCTCCCTTTCCTCACAGGTAAAAGTTTGGACAATACCTTCAACCCTCAGAGGCTTGTTGGGAGAACTACAGGAAGGGAGGGAACAAACTGTGGCTGTGTCACTGCCATGGTCATTACTTACGATCACAGGATTAGGTGGGTCTGACCCGTGTGGCTGTGTCCCTGCCGTGGTCATTACTTACAATCACAGGATTAGGAGGGTCTGACCCGTGTGGCTGTCCCTGCCGTGGTCATCACTTACAATCACAGGAT